AGACAACGGTGGTGGGTGGGTGAGGTGGGGAGAGAGAGGGGTGGGCCGGGCTGGGAGAGAGAGAGAGAGGGGTGGGGCCGGGCTAGGAGAGAGGGGAGGAGATTTTTTTTAGAAGGAGAGAGGGGAGGAGATAGTCCGACTTCTTTGCCATTAGCCAGCGGATGGCAAAGGCCCATATCTTTGCCATCAGCCAGCGGCTGGCAGATGGCAAAGAGGTGGGGCTACTGGGCCGTTACAGCACCGTCATCCACTGGGCCCCACCCACTTCTTTGCCATCTGCCAGCAGACGGAAAAGATTCTTTGCCATCTGCCAGCGGATGGCAAAGATTCTTTGCCATCTGCCAGCGAATGGCAAAGATTCTTTGCCATCGGCTGGCGGATGGCAAAGAACTGGCTGATGGCAATCAGGTTCTTTACCATCTGTCAGTTCTTTGCCGTCTATTTTTTGTAAGCAGATGGCAAAGACGTTCTTTGCCATCCGCTGACAGACGGTAAAGAGCTGACTGATGGCAAATTCCCTCTTTCCAGTAATGCAACTAGTCGAATGCCCGTGCGTTGCCACGGGCTCTGAAAATATTTTGTAATAGTTATATAAAGATAATCCATGTTAAATTTTACACATATAGACAATATAACACGGACACAATTAATTAATAATTGAAGTCCACTTCACTTGCAATGTCCACGAACTTGGTTTTCTTGGGGGCAGACATGATTATTTCCATGAGCGTAATATCTCTATGGATACAAACATAGTCTGTCAACATGATACAAAAATGAGCTAAATTAGTAAACAAAATGAGCCAAATTAGTTGAATACAAAAGGAAGTATGACAAAGGAAAGATCAATAATAATATTGAAAAATACCTTGTACGATAAAATTGAAATTGGCATCCTTTTTTTTTGGATAGCTATGAGATATCACGGCTTTCACATCATTATGTTGTAAAAAACTTGTGAATTTTTGGCCCTTTTCAACGACGTCGCTTCGGAACATTTAGTGATGGATTCTTTTTGTGCATCTCCAAAATCCATATCTATGTCTCCTATATTCTGGAAAAAAATACACATTTTTGTATTATCGTGTATCACTTTCTATCTCTGATGAAATATAAACGAAATTTTCTACTACATCATATAAATAAAAATATATAATGTATAATAAAAATAAAAGTGAAACTAACACAACTGATTTATTTTGTAAAAAAGAAAAGCTTTTTCATATTATTAAAAAAAGATGTTGCATTTCTCTTGGGGAAAACAACCAACAATAATGTTCATATATAAATAAGTAGTCATCTAAACTTTCTTAAATCATTTTAAATTATTTATATACGCTATGGAAAATTGTCCAACAAAAGATAGAAATATGCAAGCAAACCAACATAAACCAAGTATATTTGGTTTCTTCTCTCAATTATTTTTGTGATACTCTCAATATAGCTAATAAGTATAAAAATATTTATTTGTATGAACCATGTTTAATACATAATTATATATATATACTTTAAATTTTTTGTGAGGTATATATATACTTTAATTATCTATGTTTTCTCATAGAGCAAACGTTGCCGATCCAAGGCCCAAATTAGCTATCCAGCACAGCCCTACGAGCCCCCAATCTAACACCTAAAAAAGGGAATCCTCGCTCAACCTCTCTCGCTCCCGGTCTCCCCTCCCCCGGGGACGGCGCATCCGCCGTGCGCGTCGATGAGCTCCTGCCGCAACCGCGTGACTCCGACCATCGACCACCGCATTTGTCGCATGCATCGGCGGTTGCCACGCGACGAAGATCGCCGGTGGTCCCGCAGCAGTCTCGCCTGGAGGAGGACGATAGGTCCATGGCGATGTACGCTCAAGTCAGGGCCGGCTCTGGCCCAGGGCAGTAGGGGCGATGGCCTGGGGCCCGGCCGAAATAGGGGCCCATATCTGGTATACAGGATGTACGTATGGGACATCATAGTAGAAGAAAAAAAAGGCCCATCTACCCAGGGCACACAGCTAGCCCAGGAAGGTAGCCAGCCACGCACGGAACGAAATCATCCTGAATCGTCGTTTCCTTTTCTTTCCAGCGATTCTCACCCTGATTCACGCACTGAACCGTCGCCGTCTCGTCCAGTCGTCCTGATCCAGTCCGGAGTCCCTGACCGGCCGAGGTCTGACTGCATCACTGAAATCCCTAGTTCCCTGATCACGTTGTGTACATCTCGGCAAGAAATTGTGGGAAAGATAAAGATCAAGAGGTAATCTCAGATCAAAATTCTATTTCTATGAAACCATGGTGGGCGACTCTATTTTCTCGTGCTCTATGTTCTTAGGCTAAAATCTCAATCCGGTGTCTGATTCTTCCTTTGCATCGCTCATAACTTGCAGCTGCATCCATTGGTAGTGTAACCATGTTGCCTAAAAAGCATCCATCTGGTCATCAGAAAAGAACTAACAAGAAACGAGTACAGAAGTTGATTCGATCTCAGAGAGGGGCTATGAATAAATTCGTGTTGTGGAAGGATACTGATACGAATTCTGCGCAATTATATATCACCAATGGTGAACAACCAGATCAGACTGAGAACGCAGTTGGGGGAAATCGTGCCGATGTTGATGCTAATCAGAACACCCGAAATTTTAGTGGCCATGGAAACATAGATGAGCAGGTTCTTCTTTTGATATTTATGATCCTAGAACTTGGAATATTCTTGACAATAAATCAAGAGACATTCTCATTGAAAAAGGACCTACAAGGGAGTACAATCTTGTGTTTCCCGTGGATAAGAAAGGCAGGCATTTTTCATATGCTTACTACTCAAGACAGCTAAGGAATGGTGAGGCCAGTGATCGGAGGTGGTTAGTGTACTCTAAACATGTGAATAAAGTTTATTGTTTTTGCTGCAAATTGTTCAAATCTGAAAACAGCAAAAGTTTGCTAGCATCTGAGGGATTGATGGATTGGAAACATCTTAGTGAAAACTGAAATTACATGAGAACGGTGCTGAGCATATCACTAACATGAATACTTGGAATGAGGTAAGGTTGAGGCTAAGTAAGAAGGAAACAATTGATAGAGATTTGCAAGAAGAGATTGCAAGGGAGAAGAAGCGATGGAGACAAGTTTTAATTAGAATTGTTGCTGCTGTGAAATTTCTTGCTAAACATAATTTGGCTTTTCGAGGAGCAAATGAGAAATTATATCAAGATAACAAAGGGAACTTTTTGGGAGTAATTGAAGTGATGGCAGAATTTGATTCTGTAATGCAAGAGCATCTTCGGCGCATTCAGAATAATGAAATCCATCATCACTATCTTGGCCATAATATTCAGAACGAGTTAATTTCCCGTCTTGCTTGCAGTGTTAAAGATTCTCTCTTGAAGATAATTAAGGATGCAAGGTATTTCTCTGTCATTTTAGACTGTACACCTGATGTGAGCCATCAAGAACAAATGACTCTAATTGTGAGATGTGTAAACATGTCAAGTGCTAGTACAAAAATAGAGGAGTTTTTTCTAGAGTTCATGAAGGTCGACGATACGTCGGGACTTGGACTTTATAATGTGTTAATTGATACACTTGAATCTGTTGGTTTGAATGTTCAAGATGTTCGTGGACAAAGGTATGACAATGGTTCGAACATGAAGGGAAAAAACCAAGGGGTACAGAGCAGATTGCTAGCAACTAATCCAAGCGCATTGTACATGCCGTGTGCTTGTCACTGCCTGAATCTTACTCTCAGTGATATGGCAAAATCTTGCGGTAAAGCTATAACTTTCTTTGGTGTTGTGCAAAGAATTTACATATTATTTTCAAGCTCTACTAAGAGATGGCAGCTATTGCTTGATCATGTTCCAAAAATGACAGTTAAGTCTTTGTGTAACACTCGATGGGAGAGTCGAATAAAGAGTGTTCATGCTATCAGATATCAAGCACCTGAGTTAAGAAAAGCTTTATTGGAATTGAAGAGAACTTCTACTGATGACGCCAAGACTAAGAGCGACGCAAAATCTTTGGCTAATGCACTTGAGAAATTTGAATTTATACTGGGCATGGTCATCTGGCATGATGTTTTGTTCACTGTAAACATGGTGAGTAAGAAATTGTAGTCTAAATTCGTGTGTATTGATGTTACTCTTAAACAGATTGAAGGTGTCATCTCATATTTTGAGAAGTACAGAAATGAAGGCTTTGCTACTAGCTTGGATATTGCGAGATCTATTGCAATCGACATGGGTGTACAGCCTTTATTTCCTGTAAAGCGGCGTATTACCAGAAAAAGACAATTTGATGAAATGAATGGCAATGAAGAAAATGACCAGAATCAAGAAGCGCAAGAAATTGAGGTGGAATCATTTAGAGTTAAATACTTTTTGGTGATGATTGATGTTGCAATTGCTTCCTTGACTAGTAGATTTGAGGAACTGAAGTCATTTGGGAGCATATTTGGATTCTTGTTCAACTCAAAAGAATTGAAGTTGTTGGGTGATAATGATCTAAGAAAATGTTGCACTAATTTTGTCAACAGATGTTGATTTAGATGATTTTGTTTCTGAACTAAAAGTATTACAGATGACATTGCCAAACACACTCATGTCAGCGGATCAGATATTTGAGTTTGTTAGAGCTACGGATTGTTATCCAAATGTCTCAATTGCTTATCGTATCCTCTTGACTGTACCGGTCACTGTTGCATCAGCTGAAAGGAGTTTCTCAAAATTGAAGTTACTGAAAAATTATTTGAGGTCAACAATGTCCCAAGACAGACCGAATGGTTTGGCCATGTGCTGCATCGAGAAGAATATGTTGGACAGTATTGATCTTGACATTGTCATTGATGATTTTGCGTCAAAAAATGCACGGAAGTCTCGCTTCTCATGATTACTGGAGGTTTGCTAGCATGCTATTTCTATATTCTTGTTTGCATTGTAGCTTCTATGATACTTGAGTTTGAACAAAGGCAAGAAAAAATATCAGATATTTGATTCTAATGAAAATTTACTACTCTTTATGACATTATAATATATGTATTTGTTCATGTATCGACCAAAAAAAATTCTCTGTTGGGCCCATTGGTGAAGTTCGCCCGGGGGCCTTCGAAATCCTTGAGCCGGCCCTGGCTCAAGTAAGAGGACCGGCCCCAGTGGTGGCGGCCTTGAGCACCGGGATAAGTGCAGGTAGGGCTGGACGTCCGAGCGAGCTTTTAGGCTCGGCTCGAAGCTCGCTCCAGCTCGGCCCGTTACAGCTCGGCCCGGTAGGATAATTAGGCGAGCCGAGCTATGAAAATAGGCCCGATTCTCGACCGAGCCGAGCCGAGTTTTGCCCGGTCCAGCTTGGGGACTCGTTGAGGCCCAGCCCAAATTCGCATTAGGTCACAGCAGAGAGAGCACGCACGCGACGCGGTTTCCTCGTCCTTCTCCCTTTCTCTGCCCGGCGCCGCCACCCCTCTCCTCGCCGCGCCGCAGGCTGGACTCATCGGGCTTGGCACCGATGGCGACGGCCGACGCCGCCTTCCCTCACCACAGCGGACACAGACGGACGCGTCTCCCCTGGTTTCTCACCGAACGACAGGAGCAGGTAAGCGATCTCTTCTCTCCTTCCCATCCTTGGCCCTAGCTCCCTGCACTGGCGCGCACACACACACGAATTAGATGGATGGATGCTTGTGGTTTCGGCTGGAGGGAGCGGCTAGCTAGGAAACGCGATGGATGGATGCTAGACGAGTTTGATGGATGGATGTTTGTGTTTGTTGGCTGGAGAATGCAGCTAACTAGGATGTATGCTATGCTGCACGAATTTGATTGATGGATGGATGAATTTGTTTGTGCTTGATTGTGTAGAGTGATTAGTGATTATTATCTATGTAAATTTTGTTGATGATTGACCATTTGTTCTTCGCTGATGTATGCAGAGCCCCACTGTCGCAAGAATGGACAAGGAAAAGGGGAAGTAGAGGAGGAGGAGAAGGAGAAGGAGAGAAGCTTGGTGTCCATTATGAAGACTAAGCCGCTTGTCCCAGGAAGCGGAAGGGCAAGGGCAAGGGTTGTGTCGCCGCCGAGGAAGCGGGCCAAGGATTACAGCAATGTCCTGCTCGCCGAGTTGTTATTACGGGTAAAAAAAGCTCCTCCGCCTTAACGTCTCGCTGACCCTGCCGATGCCAAGAGCTGCACCAACCCCACCGTCCGCCGCTGGATGGCAGATCTCAAGACCTCTGCCTACCAAGCCGACCATGTCCTCGAAAACTTCCGCTATGCGGCGCTGTGCCGATGACCACATCCGCGGCCCCTCCTCCGTGAGTCCTCGTCTCTATTTTCAGTTTAATTTGGAAATGGATTAATTTGAAAGTGGAAGCCCCTTAATCTATGGAAATTGAAGGCTTTTAATTTTACTGAAATTAAAGATGGTACTGTCTATCTCTGTTGTTTGCATTCAGTTTATAAGTGACTACAATTCCTGGCTACATAAGTGTCAGTCTGTCAAGCGTCAAGTGTCAAATTTCAGAGGACACTTGAAATCTAAGCATCAAAGAGGTTCGGTTAGTCTGTCCAATGTCAACTAACACTTGAGATATTTGTCAAACACGTTCTGTAGTAGAAACGGAATCCTACATCTTCACCGGTATGGTTGTGCCAAGTATGTGTGTCCAAGCTCCTGTTTTTGCTGTTTTTGCTATCCAAAGGTCAAATATATGTGTGTGCAAGCTCATGTATGTGTTGTTTTTGGTATCCAAAAATCAAATATAAGTTTGTACAAGCTCGTGTATATGCTGTTTTTGGTATCCAAAAGTCAAATATATATTTATACAAGCTTATGTATGTACTGTTTTTGCTATTAAAAATTCAAAAAGATGCGTGTCCAAGTTCACGTGTGTGCTGTTTCTGTGTGCTAGGAAATGGAGCATGATAAGCAAGCGGAGAAGGATTATGAAGAGGAGGAAGAGAATGGGGATGACGAGGATGAGCAAGGTACTCTGTTTGAGGAGGAGAAAGATTCTTCTCATTTTGATGTCAAAGCGCTAAGTGTTATGCTATGCAAAATTGCATTGTTTGGCTGTCAACGTTCAATATTTTTGTTGTATAAAGTTCAAAGGAGGAGCTGTCCAAAATTCAAAAGCCATGATGTTCAATTCTTTCTTAGTCATATATATTTGTTCCATTTCTACATTTTTCTTAGAAGAAAGCTTATTTTTTCATCACTATGACCAACTTTTAAACCATAGACTGCTAGATGTTGCGTTTTTAGCAATATAAAGTGTTTTTTTTTCAAATTATGGGTTTAATTGCTGTAGAAGATCAAAACTAGTCTTTAAAAACAGGTTCTGTTACCTCCTAGCTGTAATGGCGCCAGCTGGCTCATGAGCCGGCTCGGTCTGAGTCGAGCCACAGCAAAAGCGAGCCGAGCTGCCTAAAGCAGGCTCGTTGGCTGAGCGAGCCGAGCCGAGCCGAGCCGCTTGAGAGCGAGCCAAAGCCAGGCTTGGATCAAACTCGGCTCGGCTCGGCCCGTGTCCAGCCCTAAGTGCAGGTTGGGGATGCAGGAGAGGTGCAACGCGGGGCTCGGGGCTCCGACGAGCTGGGTGCGGCACGACGGACAACGACGGACGCAGGGACGCGTTGATCCGGGCGCGGGTGCCCAATCCGGTCCCGTTCCGGCCGGATCCGCGGCGGTGCTCATCTCCGGCGAGGTGGTCGGTGACTCGCGGGACGACGGCGGCGCAAGAGCAAGACCACGGGAGGAGCTCATCTCATGGGGCTGGGGAGCGAGGTCCTGTTGGCTTCAGTTGTCGGTGGCTTGACGCAGGGGTGGCGGGGGTCCGGCATCATGGAGGCTCTTCGAGGGCGAGGAAGCAGACGGCGACGACAACTTTGAGGCCAGGGAGAGGCACAGCCTTTTTTCTTTTTGAGATTCAGAGTAGTAAAGCTACTGTGCTGAAACCACAAATTCAGAGATCATAAGCGGGCGGAGGCAGTCCGGTACGTCCGCAATCCTCTCCTGGTCTTCCGAATTCCTGGCCAACGCTGCAAGCCCATCAGCAAGGGCATTGCACAATCTCCCCACGCTACTAATACTGTGATCCGAGAAGTTTGTTAGTGCTTGCTTGATGTCTCTTAGCAGTCCATAGCAGGGGGAGAGGGACTGCTTCCCTGTCCAGTTCCTTAATCCGAATTTGGCAGTCCATGGCAGTTCCAAAATCACGGGGCCCTGTATATCCTTGAGAGCATGCAGCCCAATGAGGGCCGCTTTTGCTTCGGACTCCTCAACACCTGAGACAGCACCGGCAGAATATTCAGAATACCTCGCAAGAAGTGCACAACATTCAGATAGAAATAACAACATTTTTTTTCCAACCGGGCTCACACCCCTTTCCATTAATTTTGCAATCAACGGAAATACATAGGTTCAGTTTCAGCATGTCTCTAGGAACCATATCCAAAATAAGATGACCACCAGAACCCAAATAGGACTAAAAGGGGTAGAGCGAGCTGGAGCACCGCCAGGAAACCCACAACAGGAAGACCCTAGAACGGATCAACCGCCATGGGGCGAAAACTTGACGACACTAACAAGCTACTATCCTAGACAGCAAAGTATATGGAGGAAACTACGCAGCCACCCAGGAGGGGCATAAGGCAACTGCAAATCAATTTCTGACAAACACCAGAACGGGCATCAAACCCCAGTGGAAGCGACAAAACTGGCGAGATGACCAAGCTAGCCAATCTGAACTTCATCTCCATCCCTCAGCAGTATCCTCCCCTGAGTGTAATAGAAATCAACCGGGCTCACACCCCTTTCCATGATAGAAATAACAACATGCCCTCTGCTGTCCCTTGCGACAGCACCTGCAGAAAATTCACCCATTTTGCTCCAACTACGAGGCTACAGAATTTAGTTTGATTGATCCCAAGGCCGGCCCTGTCCAATGCAAGTGCTCCGTTTTGGGGCAGCGGGGCTGCTGTGCCACAATTGCACCCACACCTTTTCCTGCTTCATGATCGCCACTCATTGCCGCTGATTTAAATTCTTCAGAATACCTCACAAGAACTGCACAGATTCCATAATCGATTCTTTGCCCACACTGCGAATGCAGTCCTCACGCAGGCACAACCTTTTTCGTGGTATTCTTACAGATCAGTTTGTATATACTTTGCAGTTTGCTTGCAATTTTTGTATCTATTCATGTGACTGTCATAGTGGGTTAGTTTCCGATGCTTGATAGATGAATTATCTATATATTTTTTCAGTCCAACAATTCAGTGCGCTCTTAGCGCTTTGGTGTCTTTGGTTTAATCGCAAAGTGTGTACACTTGGTATCGGTTCTGTCAAAATGAATACGGCAATAACTCGGTTGGAAAAGGAACAATAACATAGCAGTGGGCACTCAGGGAATATCAATGCACAAAAGGACACCATTGTTAACACAAAACAAAGTTCTTCTAGTACCTCAACAAAAATGCAACCGATCCTCTAGATTTCAATAGAAGGACTATGAATTTATGTCACTCTGAAAGTCATATCTCTCCATCTCCATAAACAAATTACATCACAGGAACATACCATCTAGTATGAAACTTCAGACAGGGGAATAGATTGAAATTAAATTCCAATCCGGGTGGCTGCCACCTCTGAGATATCCACCCTTACAAACGACCAATCCTCTGATTTTTGTTGTTGCAAACTGCACTAAAGAGCTTTTTGAATCGCGTGGTCGATCAAAAGGCCCTGGAAAAATATCCCAAACAATATCGATAGATTGATGTGCAGACGTGAACATATTTAAAGGACGGGGAAGACGAACCAGCAGTAGTCTTCTCTGTGATCATTTGTGTAGCCACCTTCTTGACCTCAGCTTCTGTGAGCATCCCATCAATGTTCATGTTCCACCTGTTAATGTGAGACACCCAAAGGAAAAAAATTATCAGTATGTTAGATTGACTTAAACTGAACATAGCTTAGTCCAAGATGTGGTCAGTAATCTCCGTCTAGACCTCTCTGAGCCGATCCTTGTTAATGCCTTCATCTGGCTCAATGTTCCTCTGCCTCGACATATCCCGAACAGCTTGTCAGCAAACTCCTTGGAGTTCTCCATGCCTTGGATCTGAGAAGCATGCCCAATAGAAAATTTAACAATTAAATGGCACTGCAAAAGTAATTAGAAAGTCTAACACATTTGCACAATTACTGTATCATGAAACCTGTAAAAACTCAGGTACTGGACGAGCATACAAACTGAAAATCCTACTGTTTTATATAATCTTCACATTCCATTCATCAAGCAGATAGTAGCAATCATTCTAATAAATCGAATCAAAACTTGGAGACTCCCAATTACGAAAAGCACAAGCGTCGAACAAATTGAAAGTTAAGTTGGCTGAGATGGTTGTGCCCTCCAATTGCAGTCTGATGGATCGTGGGTTCTAGTCCCCCTGTTCGCGACATATTTTTCTCAACCCCACCTTTGTTTTCCGCCATCAATCATTAAAAACTCAGGAGTGCGGGTAATCAACGGATTTGCCGGGAGTGCGGGCGATCACTGGATTAGTGGGGACATAAGCAAACAAGGAATAAAAAGGCAGTTCGAGCGGATCTATTGCAAAATTCCTGTGTTTAGATTTTTTGCGTTTTTGTATAAAAATATTTTATATATTAATATTAAACATATATAAACAAGAGTGGAACAAACCGAACTGTTTTTCCCACCCACACAGCCTTGCCCTCTCCTAAAAAAAAGTCTTATCCCCTAAAAAAAAGCATGCTTAGAGCATCTCCAGCCGTTGGCCCCCCAGGAGGCCCTAAAAATCGCCCCCTGTGGGCGCACCGGCGCTAAACTGCGCGCTGAGGGCGTGATGCCCCCCAGTCGTGGCGCCCATGGTTGTTTGAAAATTTTAAATACGGCACAAACACGGCGCAAATTCAACGCAAACTTCGGCGAGTTCGTTCAAATTTAAACATATTTTACAAAAAAGAAAAAAACTACTTGGCTGCTCCTCGCCGTCTCCCTCGCCGTTCCTCGCCGCCTGCCGCCCCCGTCCTTGCAGTTCTACATGCCGAGGAGGCTGTAGAACCGCGTGTAGTCGCCGTCATCGTCATCGTCGCCATCGCCGCCTCCGCCGTCCCTGCTGCAACCCTCCCCCGGTTGGCACGGCGGATTGGACGGTCCTGGGGTGTCCTCGTCATCGTCGCTGTCGAGGATTACGACGCCGTGCTCGTCCTCGCGCCCACGTTTGCAGGCGGCTATCTCGTCCAGGGCCCGGAGCTGCCGGACCATCTCGTCGCGGAGGTAGTCGTCCCGCGCCCACTGTAGGGCCTCCTCGTCGGAGAAGCCGGAGCGGCTATCTCCTCGTACTCCGCGGGGAGGCCGGGCTCCGGGTTGGGCGCGACGAGGGCGAAGCGTTCAGAGGGGGGGTGGAGTCGCCAATGCGGACGCCGGAGCTGCGTGTGCGCCCTCTGGCAAGCGTCTCCTGGGGTTCCGGCTTGATGGGGCGGAGGCAGGGAGAGCCGGACGAGCGGCCGGACAAGGAGGAGGACGCCCCGGTCTGCTCCATGCGCCTCGGCGTCCACGAGCTCCCTCGTCAGCGAGAGAAGGACCAGGGAGCGGGGTACTCGAGCCTCGGCGTGTTGCCGCCCTCGTTGTACTCGAGGACGGCCTCTAGCGTGCGGTCGGGCACGCCCCACCACCGGCGCCGCCCCTCGGAGTTGAGCCTGCCGGAGGGCATGACGCCGTTCATGGCCTCGAGCTGTTCGGCGTGGCGACGGCGGAAGTAGGGCTCCCAGAGCGGGCTGTCGGGGACGTACCGCGGGCCTTCCCTCGCTGCCCGCGGCAGGGAGGCGCGGATAGGCACGATCTTCGCACGACGCGCCGCCCCGGTGGGTGGTGGTGGCACGGGGACGCCGCCGGCGCTGATCCTCCACGCCCCGGGCACCCGCATGTCCGGCGGGACCGGGTACTCGGCCTCGAAAAGGAGGCGAGCTTCGTCCTCGTGAAAATGGCGGCGGCCGAAGCCGTTCGCCGCCGCGCCGTCGCCTGGGAAGCGCTCGGCCATGCTTTGAACTGGAGAGGCGAGAGGAGGGGAGGAAGGGGGAGAAACGGCGCGTCGGCATGGAGGCTCTGTGCGTGTCTCCGGCGCGCTGGGGGGTCGGCTTATATAGGCGGAGGAACCGCGTAGTACGCGTGGCCGCCGCGTTACGCGTGGCGGGCGAGGG